TGAAGGCACAATCTTTGTTTTAGGAGCTTTATCGCATGTTTTGTTTTCACTTTCCTTGTATTCAATCAAATGAATGAATGAAAATGAGAATTTCCTTTTGTATTCGAACTACGTAGGGCATGAATTCTCCTTTGGAGATACATAGGCAACCTTTCCAGGCCCGACCCCTATCTTTTAAAATTTTCTTTTCCCCTTCATTCTACAAGAAAATGTTGAGTTCTAATCAACATATGCCAGGAGATGCAACAAGAAGACCTTAGCTCAATGCAGTTAACCTTTCTGAGTCACTAGTCTCAAAATAAAATGAGCATATTCCTGCTTATTGCAAAAATTAGTCCCCGTTACTTGTACGTTAACATATCCTCAAACGAAGCAACTTTTATGTGTTTAAATGCTTTTTATGTGCTATTTTGCATCATTCGTCCTGAATCAAAACTAACAAATTTTCCTTTGAGTTGTTTTCTTCTACAAGTACTTAGAACTGGTCTGTGTCGGTAAGCTGGCTGAACATCCCTACTTCATAAGATCTAAGGCTCCTAAAGATTCTTTCCCTAGTCAAAACTCACAGAATGGAAAAGTAGTAATGGGTGACAACAATGAAGAGATTGGCCTTACCGATGTTGTCGTGGCTCAGCCCGTCATTGCTGATCAGAACGAACTAATTATGCAGTTGATGCAGCAAATCACCGAAATGAGGGTCGAAATGCAGAGAAGGCAAGATTCGCCTAATCCGGTTTATGCTTTTAATGCTCCAGCAGACGAAAGGCTTCCACTTCACTTTCCTTCTTCAAACGCAGAATAGGCTCAAAACCCATCTTCCAGTCTTGCTCAGATTCCCTCAACCATCGACCTAACCATCCCAAATCCCCATTATGCCTCCGCCTCTTACCAAACACCACCTCCTCCTCAAAGTATCAACCCCCAAGCACCATTTCCTCCTCAAAATGCCAACCTCCAAGCTTGTCCGCCCCCTCAAAACCAAAACTTTAACCACCCGCACACTTCCCTCCACCACCAAAATCAGCATACCATCCCCCAGACTTTCCCTCAAAACTATCAAGCCCCTCAAAATGCCTAGAGTCCCTCCATTGCTCCACCTCTACCTCAAAAAGCCACTTTCCAAATCCCAGTTCCCAATTAGGCATACGCCAATTGTTCTGAGCTCAACCACTATGAGGTACGAGATAGAGAGTGGAGGTCAAAGGAAGAGGTCGCCAAGATGGATATGAAGGAAGATATCCGCAAGGCCATGAAAGAGTTACATTGCATCCTTGAAGTCGCCGGGTTGAGTTATGAGGACCTATGCATCCATCCGAATGTAGACCTCCCGAAACGGTTTAAGGTGCCAAAATTTGACGTCTTCGGAGGAACAGGGAACCCCTTACCGCACTTGAGGGCCTACTGTGACCAACTCGTGGGAGTTGGCAAAGATGAAGCTTTATTAATGCAACTTTTTAGCCAAAGTCTGAGTGGAGAGGCTGTGGAATGGTTTACATCTCATGAAACGAGACAATGGCCTAGCTGGAATGCACTGGCTAAGGACTTTATCGAACGATTAGCCTACAATGTGGAGATCATTCTTGATCGTTACTCCTTATAAAAGATAAAGCAGAAATCTAATGAAAGTTACAGAGAATTTGCATACAGATGGAGAAAGGAGGCAGCTAGAGTTCGGCCTCCTATGGCTGAGAAAGAAATTGTCGAAGTGTTTGTGCGGGTTCAAGAGCCCGAGTATTATAATAGAATCATGTTGCTCGTTGGAGTAAAGTTTGCCAAGATAGTCAAGGTAGGTGAGACTATCGAAGACGAATTAAGAACCGGGAAGATTGCTCGTGTTGCTGCCTCACCCGGATCCTCGCGTTTGTTGAAGAAGAAAAGAGAAGATGTGTCTTCTATCTCTTATGAGGGGAACAAGACCCCAAGGAAATCCTCATACCAAGGTTATTCTGGACCTTCACAGAGTTCATACCCGGCTTGTTACCCACAAGCTGATTACCAAACCCCTCCCCAGTTACCAAAATATTCCCCCTCCTATGTACCAAACTCCCCCTCCAGTTACCAGACTCTATCTCATCACTACCGAAACGCTGCCCCCAACTGTGCCAACGTTTATGCAAATCACCCAACCCCTCCTCCAATTTACCAATCCCCGTCTCCACTTTACCAAAATACTCCCCCGAATTACCAAGCTCCATAACAAAATTACCAAACCAATCCATACCCAAGATATCAAGCCCCCCGTCCAAAAGCTCCAAATTATCGTCAGATGCCTACCCCTCAAATGGCAATTACGATCCCCCCCGTCCTAGATTTGAGAAGAAGCCTTTTAGAAATTTCACTCCGCTCATTGAAAGCCAAACAAAACTATTCGAGCGATTTAACTGCGGTAGGATATATTCATCCAGTGGGGCCCAAGCTGGTTGACACTAGCTCAAGGTTTTACAGACCTGACCAGAGATGTGCATATCAAACCAACAGTGTTGGACATGATACCGAAGACTGTATCAACTTAAAGCACAAAATTCAGGACATAATTGACCAGAATGTGGTCACCCTCCAGACTGCTGCACCTAACATCAACAATAACCCTCTTCCAAACCACGGAGGCGTCCATATCTACATGATAGAGACGGAGGAGGAATGGTGCACGACAAAGATGATTGTCTCGGTTGGGCCAAATGACCTCGAAAAAGCTGTGGCTTCATTGTCCATAAAGGAGAAGAAAGAATTCGTAATTATGACACCTCAAAAGGCTGTTGCCTTGGTCCCAAGAGAAGCTCCTACCTGCCTGAAGTTTGTGATTAAAACAGTTGCCACTTAGGCATGACCAGATCCGGTAGATGTTACACACCGGAAGAATTTGCTCAAGGAGTATAGAAGAAGGATCAGTCTAAGAGGCCATGTAGTGAAGCTGAAGCAGAAGAGTTCTGGAGAAAGATGAAACCAAAGGATTACTCGATCGTGAAACATCTAGAGAAAACACCTGCTCAGATTTCTGTATGGGCCTTACTGATGAGTTCACAACTGCATAGACAAGCTTTGATGAAGGATTTGGATGCCACTTATGTGCCCGTGGGTACTAACAGTGATAATCTGGCAGCTATGACAAACCAAGTTGTTCAAGGACACCGTGTCAGTTTCTGTGACGAAGAGCTGCCCTTTGAAGGCAAAATACACAACAAAGCTCTGCACATCACCATTATATGTCGAGACAAGGTTATAAATCGTGTATGGATCGATGAAGGATCTGGTCTCAATATTTTCCCACTTTCGACTCTGAAGCAGCTAAACTTCAACTTAGGAAAGGTTCACCAGAACCAAGTCAATGTGAGGGCTTTTGATAGAGTGCAAAGAGACACATTGGGTGTAGTAAACTTGGATATTCAGATGGGTCCTGTGGAATTTAATGTGGAGTTTCAGGTGTTGGACATCAATACCAGTTACAATTTGCTTATGGGAAGACCGTTTATCCATATGGCTGGAGTTGTGCCTTCTACCCTTCACCAACTAATGAAATTTGTTTCGAAGGACCAGGAATTGTTCATTCATGGTGAAGGGATCCATTCTAATGGGTATGCGCCGATTGTTGATGTGGACTCCCGAGGTTGTGATTTCTACATGGTGGAGCTGGTAAATGCCACTGGTGATGATTTGGCTCCACAGCCCCCTATGCCTTCTGTGTACAAGATGATTCCTACTGTTATGCTCCGCAACGGTTTCGAACCAGGTTTCAGATTGGGGAAACATTTTCAAGGAATTGTCTAGCATATCCAAATTCCCGCCAAAGGAGTAAAGTTTAGTTTGGGGTATGTCCCCACAGATGATGAAGCATAGATGAAGAACAAGAGTGTTGATCAAGCATTGGCCTGGCCAATTCCTCATTTGTACCAATCATTTCCAGTAAGAGAGTATGTCGACGATGGTGGTCTAAAGGAAGGAATCTGGGGCCTTTTTGAGGAGATTGATGTGGTCATCGAGGAAGAGGCTGGGACATCAGGCATCCGTGATGCGTAACCTGAGGAGCAATTGCAAAATTGGACCTCCACACCACTCCTGATTGCCCACTCATCTGGGTAGAAAGGACATGTGTTTATATTTGTTTTTAAGATCGATGGTAATCCGAAAGAGGCCCGAGACCCACCCTTTATGCAATTTTTACTTGTTTGAGTTTTTAAATTCCCCTGTGATGTTTAAAAAGGCAAAATGGCCCATGGCCATGAACGAAGTTTGTACCTGTCTTTCAATTTAAATGAAAAGCCTCTTTTATCAAAGATTTGTTTATTTACCCAAATGATTATGTTTTATTTTTTCTAACTTTGTTTGTTTATAATTTCAATAATAATAATTTAAAACCTGTCAATGTCATGAACCGAGTGAACAAAATGAGGCAGGTGATGACGAATGCAAGGAATATGAAGAAGAAATTGAGGTACCCAAACATGTTGCTGAAGAGTTTTGACAATTCGAGAATCAACACAAGCCAAATTTGGAAGAAACTGAGACTGTGAATCTCGGAGATGAGGAGTGTGTCGAAAAAGTAAGAATCAGTGTCCATCTGACTGAAGCTCAAAGAAGGGACTTGGTTCTTCTGCTCAGAGAATACATCGATGTATTTTCCTGGTCTTACAGAGATATGCCGGGGCTAAGTACAAACATGGTGTCTCATAAACTGCCGATCAACCCAGATTTCAGTTCGGTAAATCAGAAAACCCAAAAATTCAAGCCAGAGTTGAGTTTGAAGGTCAAAGAGGAGATTACAAAGTAGATCGAGTACCAAGTGGTGGAAGTGGCACAATATCCGCCTTGCTTGGCCAACATTGTTCTGGTTGCCAAGAAAGATGGAAAGATCAGAATTTGTATCGACTATAGAGATCTCAACAAAGCTAGCTCGAAAGATAATTTTCCATTGCCAAACATTCACATCTTCATTGATAATTGTTCTTAACATGAGATGCAGTCATTTGTGGATTGTTATGCGAGTTATCATCAGATCCTGATGGATGAAGAAGATGCAGAAAAGACAGCCTTCATTACGCCTTGGGGGTGTATATCATTATCGTGTGATGCCTTTTGGTCTCATAAATGCCGGTGCTACTTACATGAGTGCTATGACAACCATCTTTCATGATATGATTCACAAGGAGATCGAGGTGTATGTAGATGATGTCATAGTCAAATCCCATGAGAGTTCGGATCACTTGACTCACTTAAGGAAATTCTTTGATCGCTTGCGTCGATACAATTTGAAGTTAAATCCTGTCAAATGTGCTTTTGGGGTGCCAGCTGGCAATCTGTTGGGATTTATAGTCAGCATGAGGGGCATTGAGCTTGACCCTTCAAAAATCAAAACGATTCAAGAGTTACCTCCACCGAAGATCAAGAAAGAGGTAATGAGTTTCCTAGGAAAGTTGAATTACATTAATCGGTTCATAGCTCAATCCATTGTGGTGTGTGAGCCCATCTTCAAGTGGTTGAAAAAAGGTGCCCTGACCAAATGGATCGGAAATGTCAAACTGCTTTTGATGCCTTCAAGAATTATTTGTTCAATCCACCGGTGTTAGTTCGTCCGCGAGAAGGGAGTCCATTGTTGCTATATCTGTCTGTCTCAGATAACGCATTTGAATGTGTGCTTGGTCAACATGATGAAACTAGAAGAAGGAGTGAGCCATTTATTACTTGAGCAAGAAATTCACTCCATATAAGGCTTGTTACACTATTTTGGAGAGAACATGTTGTTCTTTGACTTGGATCGCTCAGAAGTTGAGACATTATTTGTTTTCTTATACCACATACCTTATTTCTAGAATGGACCCATTGAAGTATATTTTTCAGAAAGCGATGCTGACTGGGAAGCTGGCTAAATGACAAATGCTTTTGAGTGAGTTTGATATCCTATATGTGACTCAAAAGGAGATCAAAGCACAAGCCTTGGCTGATCATCTTGTGGAGAACCCAGTCGATGAAGAGTATAAACCGCTCAAGACTTATTTTCCCAATAAAGAAGCAGCATTTGTGGGTGAAGATATTTCTGAAGCATACCCTGGTTGGAGGGTATTCTTTGATGGAGCGGCAAACCACCAAGGAAAAGGTATCAGAGTGGTCTTAGTGTCAGAATCTAGTCAGCACTATCCTATGGCGGCTAAACTCCGATTTTATTGCATGAACAACATGGCTGAGTATGAAGCTTGCATCCTCGGTTTAAAGATGGCAATTGACATGAACGTTCATGAGTTGCTGGTTATTGGAGATTCAGATTTGTTGATTCATCATGTTCAAGGACATTGGGTCGTAAAGAACCCAAAGATCACAATGTACATGCAATATATACAGAAGTTGTGCAAAAGATTCTGCAAGATTGAGTTCAGACACACTCCCAGGACACATAATGAGTTGGCCGATGCTCTTGCCACCATTGCCTCAATGATTAAACATCCAGATACAAGTTATATTGATCCCTTGGATATAGAGGTAAAAGAGTAGCATGTCCACTGTTCACATGTTGAAGCAGAACCAAATGGTTTTCCTTGGTATTTCAACATCAAAAAGTATTTGGAGACCGGGACTTATCCTGAGAATGCAACGTTCAACCAGAAGAAATCAATTCGCCGTATGGTTAACAATTTCTTTCCAACTGGGGAAATCCTTTATTGGAGGACTCCAGATTTAGGTCTTCTCAGATGCGTTGATGCTGCAAAGCTTCTTGAATAGATATATGCTGGAGTTTGTGGTACTCATATGAATGGACTCACTTTGGCGAGGAAGATCCTTCGCGCTGGTTATTTTTGGATGACTATGGAGCATGATTGTTGCAAGTTGGTGCAGAAATGTCATAAATGTCAAGTGCATGGTGATTTGATTCGAGTGTCGCCTCATGAACTCAATGCTATGAGTTCACCTTGGCCGTTTGTAGCTTGGGGCATGGATGTCCTTGGTCCAATAGAGCCAACCGCCTTTAACAGACACATATTCATTTTGGTTGCTATTGTAGCTTTACCAAGTGGGTGGAAGAAGCTTCGTACAAGTCGGTAACCAAGAAAGTTGTAGCTGAGTTTGTTCACAACAATTTGATATGTAGGTTTGGAGTATCAAAATCCATCATTACTAATAATGGAGCGAATCTCAACAGTATGAGAGAGATATATGAACAATTCAGGATTACTCACCGGTACTCAACCATCTACCGTCCCCAAATGAATGGAGCTATAGAAGCCGCCAAGAAGAACATCAAGAAGATTTTGAGAAAAATGATTGACAATCATAGAGGTTGGCATGAGATGTTGCCATATGCTTTGTTGGGTTACAGAACGACTGTCAGAACGTCAGTTGGAGCTACTCCATACTTGTTAGTATATGGAACAGAAGCAGTTATACCTGCCGAAGTTGAGATACCTTCATTGAGAATCATCCAAGAAGCTGAATTGAGTGATGTTGATTGGGTCCGCAACCGAATTGATCAGTTAACATTGATTGATGAGAAAAGAATGGTTGCCGTTTCTTATGGTCAATTGTATCGACAGAGGATGATTCATGCTTTCCACAAGTGAGTAAGAGCCAGGATATTTGAAATTGGTCAGTTGGTTCTCAAACGCATTTTCCCTCATCAGGATGAGTACAAAGGGAAATTTGCACCAAATTGGCAAGGACCCTACATGGTCCGCAAAGTGTTATCTGGAGGTGCCTTAGTCCTGTCTGAGATGGATGGCACCGAAGCTGAAACCAATCAACTCAGATGCTGTCAAGAGATATTATGTGTGAAGTTTCAGTATGTTTTTCTGTTATTTCCATGTAATCATTTTATTGGCTTGTAATCGCTTTTTTTAGAATTTTATCGCTTTTGTAATGAACTACGTTCGATCTGAATTCTCAAGAATGAGATACGTAGGCAGCCTATGTCGGCCTCGGTCACCCCTTTTACCCTTTTTAATGTTTCTTTTTGTATTTGAACTACGTTTGGCCTGATTCCTGCCTTAACGAGATATGTAGGCGCTACAACGGCTCGGTCATATCTCTCGTAAAATTTCTATTTTCCTTTACAATAGAAACTGGGACCGAATTTTTGAGAGGGACTCAAAAATTCTCAAGAAGACGATCCCTCCAACAAAGTCAAGACTGAAGTTACATTGAGAGTCGCAACTGGGACAGAATTTTTGAGAGGATCTCAAAAATTTCATAACTGAATCCATCAACAGTTCAAGATACACCTAGACGATTGACTAGGACAGAAATTTTTGAGGATGACCTCAAAAATTTCAGTAAGGTTCATCGCAAGTTTAGAACAACTTTGAATACTTCCCAGCAAGTAATCAGAAAGACCTCGAGGCATCAACTTCAAAGACGTTCATTAAGCTTCACATGACATGACACTTGGCAGTGACCTTTCTGAATATTACTTTTGAAAATCTATTTTCCTTAAAACCTTTCTTCCGTGTTTCAATTATTTTGCATAAAAATATTTTGTCCTATCTATCAAGAAGCGGGAGATTGGAGAAATCAACCGGAGATAGCCAGACAAGGAGCAGACAACTGAGGGAATCAACACAGATCAGTTCACTTTAAACTAATAATTTTTCTGTGGATGCAGCTCTATAAGCTTGCCTCAACAGCATCATATTCCTCCATTCAATGAACAAGGAGAAGTCAAAAGGACGAGGAGCTCCCCAAAATTAACAATTTTTCTGTGAATGCAGGAAAAGTTTTATGCTTCTTATACCAAAGAATTGGGAATATGAATAGCATTATTTCATTCAAATTCTCAACAAGGAGAGGTCCATAATGAATATTCAATTATGTTCGGAGATAGAACAAATGAAAACCTCGAAGAGAGAAATTTTATTTGTTTTCCAGCAACGAAAGATACCTGGAGGACGTTTATCTGTATCATATTATCAGACATGATAATATTCTCACCCGGAAAGCCATTCATATCGTATTGTCAAATGAGATGATACCACTACTCTGAGGGTCATTTTAATTATATTGTCAATTGAGACGATATCGCCACCAAGAAGATACCTAGAAGATCACCTATGTTGCTCGGTGAAGCATTATCTTCGTTCGGTACCAGGGAGGCATCATCAAAATATTCATGCATTGCAAGAGAAAGAATTCATGCATTGCAAGAGAAGATTCATACATTGCGAAAAATAAAAATCATGCAATGCAGGAAAGAAGTCATGCATTGCGGGAAAGAGATTTATGCATAGCAAGAGAAGGAAATCATGCACTGCGGCAAGAGATTCATGCATTGCGGGAAAAAGATTTATGCATAGCAAGAGAAGGGAATCACGCATAGCAAGAGAAGGATATCGTGCATTGCGGGAAAAGATTCATGCATCGCGGGAAAGAAGTCATTCATCATGGGAAAGAGATTTATGCACCACAAGAGAAAGAAGTCATGCATTGAAAGAGAAAGAAATTATGCATCGCAAGAGAAAGAAGTTGTGAATCGCAAGAGAAAGAAGTCATGCATTGCAAGAGAAACAGTCATGCATCGCAATAGAAAGAGGTCATGCATCGCAAGAGAAAAGATTCACACATCTCAGGGAAGGAAACCATGCATCACGAGAAAATCAACATCGGCTGCATCATTTTCATTTGCAAGAACAATATCAAGAGAACCATCAACAACGACGTCAAGAGAACTATCAACATATTACATCAACTTATTTTATTACTTCGATATCAAAAGAAGAGTACATTGAAGGTTATATTGCAAATATAAGATACAAGCTTTATTTGCTTTTCGTCAAACTGGAGGAAGCTGACGTCAAATGTTCGAGGAGAGAAATTAAGTGTCAACATGGTAAAAGACGCTATCTCCCCATTTGAATTCCATTTTATGTTAATGAGTTTCATCTCCGTCTTTTTCGAGAGCATCCCAAGAGGATGAATTCTCAAAGCAAACCACAGGTGCGGACGACATAAAAAAGGATGCAGCACAACATGGAGCTTTTTCTTAGCAGCGAACAGGGACATCGTCCGAAGAGGCATGTCAAACTCTTAGGACGCGAGCTGAGGAGCGACTTCCACCACAATCGAACCACACCCCTATCAAAAGGCATGTGGGTTTTTCTTTAGGTTTATCGGTTCCAGTTTTGCATCCAGAAGTTTTGGTTTCCACCGAAGGCATCTTTCTAATCCGAGTGGCAATGCACCAAAAGCTTCAGAAATTATCTCCATGCAAGTTCTTAATTGTGGGTGCGAAGCATGCAACATTCATGGCTAAGAGGTTGCAAGCCTCCTTTTCATACTCGATTTATTTTTGTCACTCTTCCTGAACCAAAGGATATGTTAGAATAATAGATTTTCTTTCCAACCGATTGAGTCGAACTACAAACAGCCTGATACCCTAAGTTGAGGGATATGTAGGAAGGATCAGTGTTGAAACTCGGCTATATTCCAACATTCGCTCTTAAATCTTATTTTCAAGCATTCTGGTACCTCCATGATTCGATATCGGGATGAATTATGAATTCTTTCAGAATCATGTGTTAAATCAAGCGTATCGAACTACAAGTGGCCTGAATTCTCATATAGCCTGAGATATGTAGAAAACCCAGTTTCGGGGGTTCGGCCATAATTCCTAAAGTTCGCACCAAAAGCCATTTTTGGAAGGATAAAGATGTCGTCGATCAAAATTGGATTTGTCAATTTCATTTTCCTCGAATTTCTTTCATCAATCCAAGTCAAATGAGGGACAGGTGTTGACACCCAATTTTGGACCTCCATAATTTACATTAATCATCGAGCTTCTTCAATTTCAAACAATTTAGAATAATTAGTTTTCTAAAAAAAAAAGAAAAAATAGTTTGCAAGTTATTTTAAATAGTTTTGTCACTTTTTATAATATTTGAAAATATATAGATGTTTTATATAATTATGTATATGATTATTATATTTTAAGAATATTTGAAAACCGTCTCAAAAAGATTTTGCTTTAATTAAATATTTGGTTAATTAGTTTAATTAATTAATAGTTTATATTTTGAATTAATTAGTTATAATTAAGTTAATTATTTTATTTTGTTAAGATTAAGAAGTTCGTTAGTTAATTATATTAATTCGTCTTATTTAGTTTTTAGCCGAATCACCAATTAAGCTCAATTTGGTTAAATTCTTAAAATTCAATTGGCCAAAATTGCAATCCATTGGCCAAATCCTCAATTCAAAACCTAATCAATTTCTTTAAACCCATTTGGAGACCAAATCTTGGGCCCATTATTTTGCATTTTCAGCAGCCCATATGTTTTTTTTTTCAATACCCTTTCATCTTTCCAGACCAATTGGAAATTCCCAACTCACTCCTAATCATCCCATATCTGAGCCCAACACCTCCCGACCTGGCCCAACTCTGCTTCAACACAAGACCCAATTCCTTACAACATTAACGTTACCATGAGCAACGTTCACAGAAGAAGAACGACGCCCAGAAACGACAAGTCACAACAGAAAAAAATAGCAATTTGAGACGGCGTCAAATTCAAGGACCTAAAACGTGATACAACACCAATCAAATGATGCCTATTCATCTTCAATTCAAACGGAGATATACGGAAGCAGACAGAAAGTAGTACGTTGCGTTTCCTTTGTCTTCTTCTTTAAGTCCCTCTCCAATAGTATTGTTCTAGCCATGTTTTTCGGCAAAAGCATCTGCTGTAGCAGCGCAGGACTGTCCTTGGAGCTGTGAGATCGGTCCACGTCGCGCCCAAGGACAATAGAACCGATCCGAGGCATCCATCTACCCTTTCCTCTTCTGGAATGGGTTGAAATTTCAGAAAAAGGGTGTCTCCCCTAAATTGCGAAAGAAATTGGGAGTTTGAATTTCGAATTGGTCCCTTGTCTTATCCGAAATTCCGCCCAAAATTCTGAACCCTAGTTTTCTTCTATAAATGCCTCATCTTTCTCCATTGTTAGGGGTTGTTGGAAAACAAGTTGGAAAATTTTACTAAGACATAAAGAATCACACATCAAAAAATAGCTATAGCATATCTATGAAATACATTCGAAAGAAAGAAAGAAGAGTTAGTTGCCATCCCAGTCTCATTCTTCTAGCTTGATCACCATCACTCTTTAAGTTAATTCGAGTTCGAGTTGCTGCCTGAGCTTCTCGATTGCTGTCCGGTTCGTGTTTTTGGTGGAGAAATCTTGTTGCCTTCAATTCGTAGTCTCGGTTCTGCTGCACCTTTAAAGGTAATACTCATCTCGCTTCAAGCATCTCTTAGTCGTAATGTGTTGTTCTTGACAATGTGAAGCAATTTACATGTTAGTATTTAGGCGTTTTGACCCATTGTTGGCGGCTAATCAGTGATAGAATCTGTTTGATAGTCCATGGTTGTTTGTTTTTTATTCCAAGATGGTTTAACGCTCATTTGAGCTTATACGGCTGCCTGTGTCTTTCTTGAATTCTTGGAAGTCATACTCGCCTGGAAAGTTCATTTTATTCACTTGTTAATCTTCAGGATGTTATTCTATATTTATTTTGTGTGATTTTCATACAATATTATATGTTTTGAAGGTGTTCAAGGAATCGTTATGATAGTCTCGGGGGTGTGTTCGTCTCTTCCTGTTTGAGTATTTGATCTTGTCTTCCTGTATCGGATATTCTCTGGGTCTGGTTTGGTCGAGTTGTTTTCTCCAAGATTTTTAAGTACTGCTTCTGTTGTTTGTTGCTAGAGGGTATACAATCTTGATTTAGATTAGCTTGCCATGTCTTAATTGAGTTTTTATTACCCTTCTAGGCTATGGCCGATGCAAAAGATACCATGAGCATGTTCGTTAGCTTACTTAGCATGTCTACTCTTTGGTCTTGGTTTATTCTGCCTTCTTTACTCTATGAGATTTCTATGAATTACATGCCTACCATTAACTAGTTCCAGTAGATTGAGAGAATATGCAGACCTTAGTGTATAGCGGTTTGTGCATCTTGTCCTCTTCTCTTTTTTTAAGAGTCTTCTATGGTGTTTAGCTTTATCTAAGTTCATTGCCTTATTTTATTCTGAGTTTTCTGTCATGCTTACATATTAACTACCCTATTTGCTACATCTAATATTGTGACATCATGTATTCATCATTTTGCTTCGTCTATTCGAATTCATAAGATAATATACCCCACTGATTTTATTTTTATTTAATTGTCCAGCTAAATTTTTTTTGCCTGATCTCTCCCCTTGTTTGTCTTTACTATTAAATTGCCATAGAGAGACCCTATAATTAATCCAATGTGTTTGTTTGCTAATCAAGGTGTAGTGACCCTTTATTTGTAAGCTATATACTGCCAACTGTTTGCTATTTTATTCAATTTCAATCGATTGGCTTGCTTTGCTTGAAATGTGTTTAGTTGATTTCCCTTGGATACATTATTGTTTCCCTAAATTGGTAAATCTTGTTATCGTTTGGAGTTGCGGTTTTAAGATGCTATGTTTGAGTACTAATCCTCATCTTTTTATTTTTATTTTTTCATGTGAGTCTTCCTTGAGTCCTCATGGACTTCTCTTTTCTCCTTGCATTCCAATTTGGGCAGTAAAGCCCAGAATTTTCTCTTCTTGCTCTAATCAGCCCCATTACCGGGTCAGCGAAACTGGTGTACAGGTTGAAAGCAGCAAGATAATGCTGGAAATTAAATTTTCAAGCACCGAAAGAGTAAAAAACAAGCTGATATACCTGATGTATACACTAGTAATAC